CCTAAAAATAACTGTACTATGATGACGGGTGTCAAATTCATATATTTCAAAATTCATAACTTTCCTTGAGTTTGAGTCTTTTTTCTTTTGATTCTAGTTTTCAAATGACTTGGATGCTGATCATATACTGATCACATTCTTTGTGAAAATTGTCAGAGCAATTAATGATGAATAAATGAATATATGCATAAATATGCATAAATAAGTAATAAATCTAAGAAGTAAAATGCAATCAATGGAGAGGTAGGCTGGTACCTCTATATCTGTAGATATATAGTTTTGGAAATATCTGTTTGGAATGAGTGCTAGTTCTACTGAAAAGTCAAATAGTGATGCTTATACTTCAGTTTCCTCATCTCAAAAATGTGATAAATTACACCAATATCTCATTTTCTTCATTTCTGAATTGAATCCTGCAGCATTTGTCTGAGTTCCATGGTGGGCCCTGAGCCAGGCCCCACCATGGGGCTTTAGTTCGTCATTATATTCTGTTGTGTTAGTACACTGGATAACATGTTGATTTTCCACATCCAGTTATCTACATTCTTTTTGTTTTCTTTCTTTTTTTTAAATTAATGTGCTGTAGTTTACATTGTAAGATTAAATAGATCTAGTTTAATAACTCTATTTTTGTAAAAGACTCACTAAACTCAAGATGAAAGCTCCAGTGCCATCCTATCAGCCCAAAGATCCCTTTCTCTCCAACTCATTTTCCTCTCCATTGTCGTCACTGAGTTAGGTTAGTTGTGCATTTTTGCCAGTTCTTTGCTTCATTTATACTTGATCACTTGATCACTTGATCTCCCATTATTCATCGATTTACTCGAGCGGGTGCCAGTAACGTCTCCATTGATCCCTATTGCGTGCTAGCGTAGCCCAATGGCATCTGTTCGTTCTAGGAACATGCAGAGCCTCAAACCGATCATTCAGGGTATTGACGAAGAAGTCTGACCATCTTGTAGGTGGACGTCCACGCAATCTTTTGACGTCCTGTGGAATCCAGTCAATAATGGCTCTAGTCCAGCAGTTGTCTGTAAACCTCATTATATGTCCAGCCCATCTGATTTTTGATGCCTTGGCAAATGAGACAGAGTCCCTGATTCTTGAGCATTGATGGAGATCAGAACTCCGGATTCTGTCTCTCTTTTGAGTGAATCATGATATTCCAAGCATAGCTCTTTCGATTCCTTTTTGAGAGACCCGAATAGTGTTCTCATCCTGTTTTCGTAGGGCCCAGGTCTCTGAGGCATGTGTTAATGCAGGAAGAATAGTGGAATTGAAGAGATGTGCTCGTAGCTGGAGGTTCTTTGTCCTCTTAGTTATTTCTTCAATGCTCTTGAAGGCATTCCAAGCCGCTCTCTTCCTCCTGCGCAACTCAAGTGCCAGGTCATTTGTCATGTTGATTTGATTTATGATATTTGATATATGAGTGAATTGCTATTTACTTATTTACTTACTTCACCTCAAGTCCTACCAATGTTATCTCGAATGGCACAATTTTATATTTTTTCAATGGCAGAGTCAAATTCCAGTGTGCTTCTTCAGTCCTTGGTCAATAATAATTTAGTTTGAGTTACTGGAGAAATATTATAGCAGGCAGGGTGCTTAGCTTCCATGTAGCAGACCCAGGTTTAATTGTCAGCACCTGGGAATTGGTCCCTGACAGCAGAGCCAGGAGTAAGACCTGAGCATCACTGGGTATGGCCCAAAACAAAACTGTCACTGTCACTGTCATCCTGTTGTTCATTGATTAGGTTGAGCAGGAGCCAGTAATGTCTCTATTCGTCCCAGCCCTGAGACTTTTGCATCCTCTCCTTACTCGTCCTTCCAAAGCTGCTGTATTGAAGACTCTTTCAGGGTCAGGTGAATGAGGCCTGTTATTGTTACTGTTTTTGGCATATTGAATTCGCCACGGGTATCTTGTCAGGGCGGGATACCCTCTGTAGCTTACTGGGATCTTTGAGGGGGTTGGAAGAAAAACTGCATCGCTCTCTTCTGGGAGCTTTGTTTTATAGTCTCTGGATCTTGGCCTTTGATGAGATTACATGGCACGAGGTGGGGTGGGGGATGGGGGGCGGGGTGGAAGGGCAGTTTGTGGGTGTGACTGCCAAGTTACTGGAAAATGGGGGATCTGGGTGGAGGAGGCCCAGCCCCAATCTGAGCAGGCTTGGAGATCTCAGCATACCTGGGTTCCTCTACTGGTTCCTTCATGTGGGAGGCTCCTCCGAGTGTGTGGAGAGTGGCCTTGAGCAAGGCTGTGGCTGGGTTTTGGAGGTTTCTGGCTGCTGGTGTTCTGCTGGGGGTGGGGAGGGAAACTCAACCTGCCCCCCAAACAAAAACAAAACAAACAAAATTTTTCTTGATTAATTCCATGCTTTAGCTATTGTGAATAATGCTGCTCTGGATATAAGGGGACTGATATTCTTTCAAATTATCTTTTCACATCCTATGAATAAATGCTTATTGCTAGATCCTGTGCTTTTTCTCTTTTTAAAATTTCCATGCTATTTTCTACAGGGAATACACTAATTTACAATCTCATTAACACTATATCAGTATTACTTTTTTTTTCTAAATCCTCACCAATATTTTTTCAAAAAATTTTATACAGAATATTATTAAGATGTAATGGTCATCAGTATCGATGTACCTACCATAGGGGTACCAGGAGGTTGAGGACAACTATTAATAGACTTGTAGAGATAAATTGACAAAATTGACAGCAATATGAACATTGTTTGCAATCTCTACCTCCTACAGCTGTTAGCAATAAAGACTTTTTTTTTAAACCAGATACTCACACACTCAAAAACTGGTACCATATTAGGAGTTAGAGAAATAGTACAAGGGCTAAGGGACTATGGTGTTTGTCATTATGTGATCAACCCAGTGATGTGCTGGGTGCTGCACAGATAGCAAAGCAATCCAAAAATGACACCATAGGAAAGCCTTCTGCTTTGTCCAGAGGTGGCAATAAAAGACTATCAGCTTGAACTCTTTAATAAGTTAATGTCATAAAAATTCTAAAGAAAGTACTTGTTTAGGTTAAGAGAGACTTACAAGACATAACAATCAAATATACCATGGCGTCCTTGGCTGTGAGTGCCCTGGCTTGTAGAAATCATCTATAAATACAGAGAATATTTGAAGATAGATGGGTTATTAGTAGATAACAGATACTGCTAAATTTTTAGTGTCATATAGAAAATTGTTTTATTACTGAATTCATGGGTCCTTGAGCACTGCACAAAAGATTTTTACACAAAACTCCAGGAGCTCATGAAGCCATAATTTACTATGCTGCCCAAGTAAATGATTGTAGGTCCCTTTCCAATGAACAGGACTCTAGTTTTACTTGTACATGGTGTCACTTGTCATATACTTTCACTGTCCTGTCCTTTTGCTATCCAGTCACTTCAAGTGTAGTCCTGGTCCTGAACTTTTGCTCTTCTTCGTCCAGTGTATGGTTTCTCGGTCTGAGGTCTGTAGCTGTCTCGCATAACCTGTGTTCCTTCCTGGGCCTTGCTGCTTCTAATCTTTTGTTCTCCCAAGGGCCATAGCCTAGAGGATTTATGTCCCTTAGTCTTTTCCTGTCCTCCTGCCACAGACATATGAATAATAACTCTGACTTTCAGTCACCTGCCCAGACATAGAGAAGAGGTCACTGAGCAGCTGCAGTTCATGTAAGGTCAACAAGAAAATTGCCTGACTGTTAACTTCCTTTTATATCTACCTATTTTCCTTTTCAACGATTTCATTGTGTATTTTGACTGCTACTTTTCTGCAGGAGAGATTTAAAATGACTGATTTAAATTAATTAGATTTATCTGTCACCTCTCTTCTCCCCTGTTCTTCCACTGTAACATTAGGAGTGTTATGTATTTATGTTGGAACTAGTCTGTTTGCAATAATCACTTGGTAATAGGTTACGGCAACTTACTATGCATTAAAATATGGCAGCAGGGTCAGGGATATAGTTCAAGTAGTGGAGAACACACCTAGAATATGTAAAGCCTATCAACCAGGAAACCACCAGGTTAACACCATCCAGTCAAGTACTGCCAGGAGTATTCCTAATCATTTACTTTGGCAGCACAGTAAATGTCCCACTGCACTCATGCCCCCCAACCACAGTACGACTGTTTGTGACTCCTATAAAAACTAAATTAATAAAATGTGGTAGAAAAAATTGAATTTAGCAAAAAAGACCAAAATGACAATTGAGAAAATGGCATGAGTAGGGTCTTCTACTATAGTACTGTTTCTGAATTTTAACATCTGAAATTTTCCAAAATAAAGAATTAAAATAGTAAATTATAGGGCTAAGGTGATAGAACAATGGGTAGGGCACTTGCCTGACCTATGAACAATCCTGGTTATATCACCTGGCACCACATATGATCCCGTGAACCTGTCAAATATGATCACTGAGCGCAGAGTCAGGAGTGAGCCCTGAGCACAGCCAGGTGTGACTCCCCAAAATGTAAATTATATAATAGGTTTTTTTTTCTTTTTGGGTCACACCCAGTGATGCACAGGGCTTACTCCTGGCTCTGCACTCAGGAATTACTCCTGGTGGTGCTCTGGGAACCATATGGGATGCTGGGTTCAAACCCGGGTTGGCCACTTGCAAGGCAAACACCGTGCATGCTGTACTATCACTCCAACCCCTATATAATAGTTTTGAATGCATATTCTACAAAGAGTTAAATTTTCCTAATGCTTTGAAAGGAATTTAAGAAGGCATGAACTGTCATCAATCACAGGAGCTACTTCCATCAGTATCACTGAGGATTGTCGGACCACCACACAGAGGCGGAAACACCTCTAGAAATAGAAAACAGGAACAACATTATAGACTCCAAGTTGCTATTCTTTATAACATCTCCTGTGTGTCAAGATGACCTTGCCCAAAGTGAAGACAAATGTCTTCTTGTTGGGAAAGATGAACTACAGCAACTTGTACATATCCTTGAGAAACAAGTGTGTCATTAATGCAGTGATTTTTTTTTTTGTTTTGTTTACAGAGCAGTAGGATGTGGTGCTCGAAGCAGAGACTTGAAACCATGGATGCTTGCCCTTCTCGTTTTGCTAATACTAATAGTGGTGGTAGTGACTATCGGTCTTCTGGCTCACTCCTTAGATTCAGGTAGGTAGCACTGTAGCACTGCCCTCCAGTTGTTCATTGATTTGCTCAAGCACGCCCAGTAAATTCTCCATTGTGAGACTTGTTACTGTTTTTGGCATTGCCAGGCTTTGCCTTGCAGGTGAGATTCTCATTAGCTTGCCAGGCTCTCTGAGAGGAGGAATCAAATCCGGGTCGGCCGGTTGGCAGCGTGTAAGGCAAACACCCTACCCGCTGTGCTATCGCTCGAAAATCAACTTTACTTCGTTTTTCAAATAAATCTGAGATTGCATATATGTTAATTCAATTTGATTAATTTTCTTACTTTTACCTGTGAAAGTCCACTTTTTTCATCTCTTTAACTGATGCAACCATTTGATCAACAAATAACTCCTAAATGCTCACTTTTCTAGGCAATAAAGATATAGTGGTAAAAAAAGCAGATTGCCTATCTTATAACTGGATGTTGCTATTTTATTTTTTTATTTATTTTTATTTACTTTTAATTTTTATTAGTGAGACATCATGAGGTACAGTTGTAGACTTACAAATTTTTGTACTTTGGTTTCAATTATACAATGATCAAATTCCCATCCCTCCACCAGTGCCCATTTCCCACCACCACAGATCCCAGTATCCCTCCCACCTCCCATCCCCCCCCCCATCCCACCCTACCTCTGTGGCAGGGCATTCCCTTTTGTTCTCTCTCTCTTATTGGGTGTTGTGGTTTGCAAAAGAGGCAATGAGTGACAACCATGTTTGGCCTATAGTCTACTTTCAGCATGCTTCTCCCATCCTGGGAGGATCCTCCCAACACCCTTTATTTGGTGTTCCCTTCTCTATCTGAACTCCCTTTTCCCATAGCATGTGTGGTTGGCCTCCAAGCCATGGAGTAAGATTCCTGGTATTAATCTCGGCCATTCTTGGGTGTTAGTCTCCTATTTTGTTACTTTATGTTCCCCAGGTGAATGCAATCTTTCTGTGTCTGTCCTGCTCTTTCTGAGTCATTTCGCTTAACATGATACTTTCCATATAGTACCACTTGTATGTAAATTTCATGATTTCATCTTTTCTAACAGGATGTTGCGATTTTAGAATCAGGTGTCAGGTTTAAAACTTGTATAAGCCTCTAACTAGTGTGAAGCACAGAGAAAGTTACTTAATGCCTCTCTCTGCTTCACTTTCCTCATCTGTTAAATGGACATCTGGAGCGATAGCACAGCGGGTAGGGCGTTCACCTTACAAGCGGCCAACATGGCCGACCCGAGTTCGATTCCTCCGCCCCTCTCGGAGCGCCCGGCAAGCTACCGAGAGTATTCGGTATGCCAGACACAGTAACAACAAAGTCTCCAATGGAGACGTTACTGGGCCCGCTCGAGCAAATTGACGATCAACAGGAGGGCCTTTACCTTACCTTACCTTACCATGCTGACATGGGAAATCAAGTAAGCTGACACATGGAAAAGTGCTGAAAATGTTTGATGCATAGTAGATATTCAGTAAATTTTGGATACTATTATTAGTATATGACTTTAATTGCTACTTTATTGTAATGTGAAACTAAATTAGAAAGAATCTTAGAGACATATTCAAGACCATGACTTCACATTAGATGCATTATAGATGGGTCTCTGAGACTAAGATCTATTCCTAAACTTCTTAATTTCCTTTGATTTTCATCACAGGCCAAAAAATGGAGTATTATCATGGAACCTTTAAAATTTCAAATCTCCAAATTAGTCATTCTATACAAAATAACACATATCAACTGAAGGACTTACGGGAGATAAGTGAAAACTTGGTAAGTCAGATAAAGATTTTTTTAAATCATAGAATAATATATGCAGAGGAAATTTTGTTTACCACTTCCCTCAACATTTCTTAAAACTTCTTTTTCAAAACCTCACCATCAGAGTTTATCTTACAGATACCTAGGTCCCACTTCAAACCTGCTAAATCATTGTCTAACATGAAGGGTAGTTGAAGATGAAATAAGAGAATCAGGAAGTATGACAAATAGGATAAATCTAAGGACAAGTATCCTAACCATTTGGCCCCTAATATTAACCAAATGAAAAATGAAAACAAAATCAAGAGTGAGTATTTGAGAGACCACACACTTTTTAAAAAATAAGGCAAAATTTTAATATTTTAAATGTTTTATAAGTATATAGGGAAAAAGGATCATCATAATTACTCATTTTATGTCACAAATATATTATGAAAGATAAAATATTGATACCAGTTATATAATACCCAAATAAAATCAATGTACATAGAAGCAGATTACTTCTACATAACACATTCTGCAATTCTCATATAGCATATCAAATTAATGATATATATTTGAATAATGTAAGAAACCAGAATTGCATTTAAAAGATGTTTGATAATTGAGTGTGCCAGTCTTTGTTGTGTGATATGGTATCTCTTTGTTATTTTGGTTTGCATCTCCCTGATGATTAGCAATGTAGAGCGATTTTTCTTTTGGTCATTTATATTTCTTTTAGTCATTTATATTTCTTCTTTGAGTTAGTTTCTGTTTATTTCTTCTCATTATTTTTTGATAGGGATGGATCAATGGAATTGAGTCTAATATCTTGACATTGATTCTCAAATATATCATCAGGAATCTGATAAAAGAACAAGAAATATAAAGTGGAGCTAGATAGACTCTTCAACAAATGGTGCTAGGAAAATTGGGCAGCGATATGTAAAATAACGAATTCAGACTTCTTTCTAATGTCAGACACAAAAGTAGTTAGATCAAAATGGATTAAAGACCTCAATATCAGACCTGATTCCAGAAGGTACATGTAGGAAATTGTAAGCAGGACCCTCCATAACACTGAAGCTAAAGGCGTCTTCAAAGATGAAGCACCACTGACCAAGAAAATGGAAGCAAAGATAAACAAATGGGACTAAATGAAACTAAGAAGCTTCTGTACCTTAAAAGAAAAGTGACCAAGATACAAAGACAGCCCACAGACTGGGAAAAATTATATATCCAATATACATCTGATAAGGGGTTAATATTCAAGATATATAAGGCACTGGTAGAATTTTATAAGAAGGAAACATCAAATCTATCTTTAAAGATACATTTGTATTACCATGTGGTATCTAATTCATTAGTATTGATTTCTCAGTGATTCATAATGCATTCCAATTACACTTTACCTCTTATCTATTATTTCAAAATTTTCCAACTAAATCCTGTTAGCATTTCCTTCCGGATCTCTGCAAATTCTGGTGAAAGAATTACTGGATTATTGGGTGATCATACCCTTAATTTTACTAATTAGTGTTTGATTGCTTTCTTCAGTGAATGGATGAATCAGTATGTTCTCTCATTTGTAGTACTTAGGTCCTCATGTATTTGCCAAAACTTGGTGTTAGTTGACATTCTAATTTATGTCAGTCTAATAGATATTATAGTGTATCATATTAGTGACTTAGAATGGAATTTTCTCTTTATAAACAAGTTTATGCATCATTACATATAAACTTATAATGTTTATATGTAATGACTTTTAGGCCTTTGTTTCTATAAAGTGCTTGCACAAAACCTCTCTGTCTCCTCCTGTGTTGCACACAACAATCTATCTCCTCAAACTGCTTTTAAATCTCTTTGGAAGAATGCAATTAGCACACATGAAACTGAACAGCGTAACATAAAATAATTAATAAATACATCGGTTGTAAAAGACAGTGAGTACAGAAGAACTTCAAGGAAAAGGAAGCTAGAGGGAGGTTTTTCTCACCAGGAAAAGCTATGTATTATTTTAGCCTTGTTGAAACAAGACAAGTATCCTTTTGTCTCCACTCCCCTCACCAAGACACCTTTAGAAGAATTACAGGAAAGGTTCATGCCTCATCCTGAGCCACTCCTATTTATTGTTGCTAAATCCCAATGAATAAAGCCATATTTTTCTCTCTGCCCTCTATGGGTGTTAATTAGATAGCCAACAAGAAGTTGCAGGTCCTGTTCTTCTTCATGATTTGGGATTTACTGATTTGAACGCAAACGGAGATTAAAAAGTAAAATGAGCTCATGCTGAGATACTGCTAAATACCTTCACATTTCCTTGCTACAGTAGCTAGCATAGACATAGCTTATCTTCCATATTTTATTTCAGATAAGTCTCCCAAGCCAAAGATAATAATTAATGACACTCCAAATAGGTAGATCACATTATCAACATCGTCATCATCTTGCAATGGCTCATTGAAGGAGTTCTTCATTTAAACATTTTAGAAATCGTATGAAATATTTTTAATTATAGGATTGTCACAAATATAAAAGTTATAAACTAATAGCACCAAGCAATGGTATTATACAAAGTTTACATGAATCGGAAGCTAAGTACTACACTAAGCTCCTCTGTGTTTTATTTTAGTTGATTCTAAAAAGCAACCTTGTGAGAAAAGTACAATTAAAATAATTTTATAGGTGAGAAAACTGAATTACAAAAGTAATCAAGATGTATTCAGCTGAAAGTACTCAATATCATCCATTGTACATGATTTAGTAAGAATTTAATATTTTCTATTCTTCATAAAATTCTGAGTAAGAATGTATGTACTCGATTTATTTTGATATAATTTTACTTTCCATCTACCATTCCACAAATTACAAATCAAATAATTATTGATTTTATTTATCAAATATTTATCAAATGAATGTTTGATAAATAAAATAATCTATCAAACAATAAATCAAATAATTATTCCTAGTACGTTGTTCTTTCTCTTATGCTATCAATATAAACCAGAATACACCATCTGTATTAATATTAGCAACAGCAGGGAATTTTTGAGTTTTTTCAAAAAAAAATGAAAAGAAGAAAAAAGAAAAGGAACCACGTCTAAGAAAGTTTTAATTTTTATCTCATACCCAGAAACACCAGATACAACTAGAGCCTAAAATTATTTTAAAAAAATACTCTTATGACTATGTGCTAAAAGAGACAAAGAACTTGGGAAACAAATTCAATGCCAGGAGATAATTTTGTTTAGGAACAACCACGAAAAGATCTGCAGCTTCATGAAAAAAAGAGGTTTTTTTGCTTTTTCATCATTTTTTTTTTAGCTCTGAGAAAAAAGTAAGAAATTCACTATTCAAAGGCTAGAAAAATTAGGTGTAGAGTGTGGTTTAGTTCTTACTCAATGCCTCAGAGCTGAAGACTAGGCATAATTAAAATCCAAATACATATATCATAATCTCTGAAATATGCTTACTTGAATTCTAAAATAAAAGGCTAATTGTCGCATATTTCTCGTAAGGTCTGCTGTATGTTACTGCAGTGAAAGGATTGTTGTCTATATTTTGTAAATAAGAACACTAAACATCTGAAGTTAACCTCTACATGTAACAAATGATGGAGAATTGAAGCCATATAGATAATTCAGACATATGAACTTTCCATTAAATTGTGTTACTTGTCAGAAGCTCAAATAATATTATATTTCACTTGCATGTGAATTATTTCATTTATTTTAATACCAGTTAGAAATGTCATATGCTATACTAAGTCATTTTTATTTGGGAAAAACATCTTATTTGTATAAAAATGTCTTTGTCTTCTTTCAAAAATGCCATTATTAATGACTAAAATCTTTAAATGACTCTGACAACATGGTTATTTTACCAATATTATTTATTTTGGTCTATTAACATTAGATATCTCTTGCTCACAATATATTATGTAACAATTTTTTGGCTATCGCTGATTGAAAGTAACTAAAATTCATAGAAAACAATGCCACAAAGGAATGCTAAGTGTGGAAATCCCTTGTCTCATTCATAACCTTAAAACTCCCTTTTTACTGTTTAATATTATCTTTAATGTGAGTTTGTTCTATATTAATTTTATATTTTGAGATTAGTCCTTATACATGTTGGTTCTCCAATGTGCTACTCATTTTTTATCATAAAAGGATACTGTAATTTGTAACTGTGTACATTCAGAGAATCACAGGATTTTTAGCTCTCATTAATTATATATGTATTATATTTATTGGTCTGTACATATTCAATCAATCATCTTGGATCCTGAGGATAAATCTTACTCTATCATGTGTTCTATCTTTTAATGTTCTACTGAATATTTTTCTATTACTTTATGGGTAATTTTTGCATCTCTATCAATCAGGAATATTGATTTGCATTTTTATTGTGATATCCTGGCTGGCTTTTATATGAAGATCACTGTCACTGTCACTGTCCCTGTCCTCCTGTTGTTCATTGATTTGCTCAAACGGGTCCAGTAACGTTTCCATTGTGACACTTGTTACTGTGTTTGGCATATCGAATACGTCATGGGGAGCTTGCCAGGCTTTGCTCTGCGGGCGAAATACTCTCGGTAGCTTGCCAGGCTCTCTGAGAGGGGTGGGGGAATCGAACCTGGGTCGCCGGGTCAGCCATGTGCAAGGCAAATGCCCTACCCACTGTGCTATAGCTCCAGCTCATATGAAGGTAATGTGGGTTTTTTTTTTGGTTTTGATATATAGTATATTTTCAGTTCATAAGAATAAATTTTGAATATAAAATTTTTGATATCTTGGAGGAATTTCTTAGAATTAGTTTTTTATTTGTATTTTTTATATCAGTCTCACCTACTGCTGGAGAAAAAGCTCAGTGGGCTGAACACATGATTTGTTTGATCCCCAGTACTTTGAGCTTTGCCAAAAACAAACAAAAAAATTAATAAGCATAATTATATAGACATAAAATAAATTTTTGGTGTCTCACTTCAAAATTTTGTAATAATTTGAGAAAAGTTGGACTTAAATATTATT